CTCTTCTCTGAACATTTCAGATCTCCTGAGGGATGGGAGCTTGGTTGAAGGGAGTCCAGGAGACAGGGTGGGTACAGAGTGACACCTGGAATAGATGGGAGGTCAGAAACATTGGGAAATGTGTATCTGGAAGCTACCCTGGAGGGGGTCTGTGTGATTGATTACTCGAGGTGTTCTTTGTCTTCAGAAAAGGATTTGGGGACTTTTTTACTTTTTTGATAAATTCAAAGAAATGAAGAAGCATTGCTTGACAACAGATGATCTCTCCAGCAGGGCTTCTGGCTTTGTTCCAGTTCATCACTAAATGGATGGTACTAGATGGGAGCCAGTGTGGAGGGCCACAATGTCAAGAAAGCACACATGAACAAGACAAGACTGTCCCCTCTCTCCATACCTATTCAAGTACTTGAAGTCAGAACCAAAGCAGTAAGACAACGAAAGGAGTTCAAGAGGATCCAAATTGGAAAGGAAGAAGTCAGAGTATCTTTATTTACAGATGATATGATAGTATACATAAGCAACCCTAAAAATCCCACCAGCAAACAACTACAGTTAATAAACATTTTCAGCAAACTAACTGGATATAAAATTAACTCCCAAAAATCAGTAGCAAATGACAAACTGTCTGAGAAGGAAATCAGGGAAACAACACCTATCACAAGAGCAAGCAAGTGAAAGACTTGTAAGACAAAAATTTCAAGACATTGAAGAAGATATCAGAAGACAGAAAGATCCCACACTCATGGTTCAGTAAGATTAATATAGTAAAAATGGCTATTCAATAAAGCTATTTCAAAGGAGAGTCTATAGAAATCAAGTATCCACAAGTTGCTAAGCTTCCAACAGGAAACAAGCCATAGACAGAGCCAGGTCAAGAATCCTTCATGAGACAGATTATTTCCTATATGCCAAGTATTGCAAGGCCCAATGCTGCCTTCATGAAATAAAACGTGAAGAAAAACTGAGCTTCAGGCTGTGAGCATGGGAAAGTGATGACGCCAACTGAGAGAGAAGGGAGAGAGAGAGAGAGAGAGAGAGAGAGAGAGAGAGAGAGAGAGACAGAGAGACAGAGAGAGAGACAGAGAGAGAGAGAGCAAACAAAACAACAACAACAACAACAGGACAATTAGGCAAGGAAAAACCACACAGGGTCTGGTATCGAGAACAGGTACCTAGTGATGTCACAGTTGGGAGGACTCCCAGGGTCTGTCTGAGGCAGAACCAAACAGCCAGTGAGGACAGGCTGGTGGGACAGGCTGGCAGGTAACTTGTCAGCATGTGGGGGAGGGGCCAGGGCAGCCTGGAGGTGAGGGCAGGAAGCAGTGATGGGCAATTTCTAGATCACACAGCTGTCACCATCACTGTGCACTGGCCCATTGGCTGGATACAAGACTCTTCCGGGTCACAGGACTGTACTCAGCAAAGCTCCCAGCCCACAGAAGCAAATTCTGGAAAGGGACCAAGTCAGAAAAGGGTTCCCATGGTCAGACTTGTGTGGTATTGTATTCCCCCAAATATTGTGCATGCTAATAAACTTATCTGGGGTCAGAGACAGAGTAGCCACAATATTAAACATAGAGGATAGGCAGTGGTAGCACACGCCTTTAATCCTAGCATTCCAGAGGCAGAAATCCATGTGTTCAAGGATACAGACAGGCATGGTGACTCATCACGCCTTTAATCCCAGAAAGCAAGCCTTTAATCCCAGGGAGTGGTGGTAGAAAGCAGAAAGGTATATAAGGTGTGAGGACCAGAAACTAGAAGCATTTTGGCCTGGTTAAGCATTTGGCTGGTTAAGCTTTCAGGCTTCTAGCAGCTCAGTTCAGCTGAGAGCCATTCTGGATATGAGGACACAGAGGCTTCCAGTCTGAGGAAACAAGACCAGCTGAGGATCCGGCGAGGTGAGCTAGCTGTGGCTTGTTCTGTCTCTCTGATCTACCAGCATTGACCCCAAATAACTGGCCTCGGGTTTGATTTTATTAATAAGAACTTTTAAGATTCATGCTACAGACTTGGGCTAACCTTTCATGCCGAGAGAAAGTGCATACAATGTCTGCCATGTGCTGCAACACCAGTGAGGCAGAAGTGAGACATGCCCATGTACTTCTCAAGCCAGGCACAGCCAAGGGACCCATCAGCACTAACAGAAGTATTCATACCTAGGATTTTCAAGGAAGGAGTCACAGGAGGGGACTAGGCCAGTGGACAGCTTTGGTCTTTCAGCCCCAAAGAGAGGGCTCTTAACCTCCCAATTCTAGTCATTCTGAGGCAGAGTCTAGGATCAATAGACTCAATACTACCTGGGAACTCGTTAGAAATGCTTCCCGTAGGGGTAGGACCCAGGGATCTGTGCCTTACCAGGATTCCCTGAAGCTGAAAAAGTGCGGGCCAAGTCCTTCCTCACTTCAGTGACTGAATATTGCAACACTTGTCAGAACAGTGAGTTGGAATGTATTAGCTGCTTCTCTATCGCTGGGATAAAACACCATGACTTTCTCATAGGGATGCCAAGCACTTGACAGAAGAGCTTGCTTGAAGTGTACAGTTCCAGGGAGTTAGGTCCATAATGATAGGGACAGCAGGCAGCAGCCATGGCAGCCTGAGCTGAGCACGGGGTGGGGGTGGGGCTCACAAATTGAACCACAAAGAGGAAGCAGAAAGTGCACACTGGAAACCAAGAAAGACTTTTTCTGTCTGTTTTGTTTTTTGAGAAAAGGTCTCTCCACGTAGCCCTGACTGTCCTATGTCACTACATAGATCAAGCCAGTCTCAAAACCACAGAGATTCACCTGCCTCTGCTTCCCAAGTGCTGGCATGGAGCACGGCTTTTGGAATCTCATAGCATGCTTCCTCCAGCCCATCAAGGCCACACCTCTTAAACCTAACTCCAGACAGTATCACCAAATGGGAATCACATTTATATGGCTGGGGCATCTCATATGAGGGGCATCTCATCCAAAGCACCACATGGGGCATCAGCAGGAACCATGTCTGGTGAAGAGAAAGGTACAGGCAACATCCACCAAGGCGACGTGCACCAGGGACAGAAACCACCTGGTCCTTGCCTTGTAGTCCCCCCCAGAGACTCGACATTGAGAGCAGGGTGCAAACCTGAACTCGTCAAAAAATGCCTGTAGCATCTCAGCAGCTCCATCTTCCACACTTCCCATGGGGAAATAACCCCTTGGGGGTCTGACTAGGCAATGCGTTTCAATTTGTGAAGTCTACCCCCAAACGACACATTTGCTTCATTTACTGTGCTCGCTGGTCTCGGTGTGTGTGGAGCAGAGGTCGTCCTCCTTCCTCCAAAGAGGAGGGGATGAAGGCTGGCAGAGTGTGGAGGCTCCCACAAGATCACGTGGTACCATACGAGCTGCTAAATGCTTTCCCTTTGCTCAGGCCCACACAGCCCACTCCTGTGAAGTGTATCTTTTCCTAATAGGCTGTCCCTGCTTCTGAGGGAAATAAAATCATAAAATAAAATAAAAATATCAGCCGAGGGAGAAGGAAACCAGAGCGTCAACCCTCTTCTTTCAGGAAAAAGGTATTAAAAGCCTTCAAAGTCATCTCAAAGGACACATAGGTTGTAGATTCCTTTACACTTTCTCTGAGGGCTTACAATCCCTCCTGGCATCTACCAGCAGCTTGGGCCATAAGACGCTTCCATCCATCAATTACTGGCTGGGCCTGAGCCATTCACCAGTGTGCGTGAGCTGGAAGTACCTACTCCCGTACACCTTTACTGTAGGCCTAGTGGCCTCAAAGAGAACCTTTCTCCCACATGTAGCTGATTACAGACCACAGTTCTGATCCTGGGGACCTCCCTTAGGCCAGGATCTAGGTATGAGACTGCTCCATCCCCAGAGCCTGGATCTCCTGAGCTCCTTTTCAGAGCGGATGGAATCCTCCATCTTCCCATTCTGAAGGCTGAGGCACACTCCGACTGCCCAGAGAGCTGACAGTCTGAAGGGGTATCTGTCTGGCAGAGAAAAGACTGTGCCATCCGAGTGTGGAGAGAGGTCCCAGGGCAGGACCCCAGTTCTCTTCAGCTACTAGCTTCCTTGCTTGGGGACAAGTCACATGTCTCCTGTGGGTAAGTCTCCCCTTGTTAGAGGTTTAAAATAATGTAAATCCAGCTAGGCTCTGGGGACATCAGAGCAGAGGTGGGAAGGAGCTGGCTCGGGGTAGATGTGGGCTTGCAGGGAGGTCAGGGCCAGATACGGAGAAGCCGAGTCCAGGAAACAGAACGAGAGGCATAGTGCTCTGAAAGCTCAGGGGAGGAACAGATCCTGAGGGTCCTGAAGTGGAGAGCCAAGGCCTGCAGGGCATCCAGCTCGACGGTCATCTTTCAGCCTGAATGTCCCTTCCTTCCCATCAATCATATCAGCCCCCTCAAACGGAACACAACATTGCAGGGGCTGGAGGTGGCGTGACAGATTTGAGAAGTTAAAGATGAGAAACGGGAGGCAGATACCAAAGCGGGCATTTTCAAAATGTTAGCAAAAATAATGAGAAAGTAATTCAGAAAACAGTTACAACTCCCCCAAGGTGGATAGTTTATAACACCTTATTCTGTCTAACATTCTGGGAAAACAGACACGAGGTCACTGCTACGTCATGGGTAGAGTCAAAATTTGGACTGTCTTTGTGAGACATCTGAGTGATGACAAGTCCTCTTCTACATTAGGATGACTCTCAGTTCAGCATTGACAGATTCCATAGAATTCCACAAATGACCTCCAATGAAATCCACGTGTCACTCTTCCAAGTGTGGTGGCCTCTAGTGCTCTCCCAATCAAAGGGATAGTACTTATTCATGTCAAAAAGATTCTGTGGGAACAACCCACACAGCAAAGAATAAACACAATTAGGTGGCTGGTGGTGGCGCTCGCCTTTAATCCCAGCACTAGGGAAGCAGAGGCAGGCGGGTCTCTAGGAGTTCGAGGCCAGCCTGGTCTACAGAGCAGGTTGTAGCACAGCCAGAAAGACCCTGTCTCAAATAAAACAAAACAACAACAAAAATGGCATTCAGTCAATAGCAACTCAAAATGACTTAAAAGTAGAGGAAGAAGCAGGGAGAATGACTCCCAGATGGACCAAACGTGCACCACTGCATCCCCGTGTTCAGCGCCCACGTCCCCCGCAGCTGCCATGCCCCAGAGAAAGTCTGAAAGGGATACTGAAGGAGAGAAGGGCACGGTGAAGGGGGAGCCACAGAGAAGATCTGCAAGGTTGTCTGCTAAACCTGCTCCTCCAAAGCCAGAGCCCAGGCCTAAAAAGGGCCCTACAAAGAAGGGGGAGAAGGCCCCCAAGGGGAAGAAAGAGAAAGTCGATGCTGGTAAGGACACAAATAATCCTTCAGAAAATGGAGATGCCAAAACAGACCAGGCACAAAAAGCTGGAGGCGCTGGAGACGCCAAGTGAAATGTGTGCATTTTTGATAACTGTGTACGTCTGGTGACTGCACAGTTTGAAATACTATTTTTTAATCAAGTTTTATAAAAATGCAGAATTTTGTTTTACTTTTTTTTTTAAGCTCTGTTGTTAGCACACAGAATACTTCATTGTTTTGAGAGGAAGGAACATGTGTCACTAGCAAAATGTCTCCCAAGCTGGATTGATGATGGTCGATGTTGGAAAACATCTTTCCCTGATACTTTTGAAAGACTCCTCTGGGCTCTCAGGGGAGATGTCCTGGTATTGACATATGTGACCACCGTGGCACAAAATGCCATGTGTGGGAAACTCTAAATTCATTTTTATAGCCTCCTCCCCCGGCACCATCAAATCGACTTAACTCCCTTCAAACCAGAGACCTGTTGGAACCTGTCCCCCCAAAATTGGTTTTGCCAATCTATTATTGGGCAATCTGGACTTGGCAGTGGTATCACTGAGTGTCCTCAAAAGAGCAGCGGTTCCTTTTACAAAAGATTGTGGATCTTCGGATTGATTAAAAAGAACAAAAAGATAAAGTAGAAGATGAGGGGCCACATGGTGCTGGCCACACCATCTACTGCACAGCATAGGAAGGATGGTTTTTATAGAAAGATGGCCTTTCCGAGCATTGTGCACACCTCCCCTGAACCCCTCAGAGAGGTTTTGGCAAAGGTGGCTGCAGAGGTGGCAGCCGGCCTAATGTACTCATTGCCACAAAAGCCCACGATTACATTAGAGTCTTCTAAATTGGTCACCAAATGAGACCGGCTCTGGGGGAAAAATCAAAAATTAATCCTGCTATCTTTAGCTCCCGTTAAGAGAGCCAACAAAGACAACAAAGGTTCTGGCTGACAGAGTCACAGCAAGCTCTGACAGGTGCCCATGTTTACACCTGTGCCCACGGCGATAACTGCTCTGGGGACCCGTACCGAGTTCTCTCAACCACAGAGCACGTGGACACACGGCTCTCAAGTGTTAGGAGCAAAGCCGACCCTTGCTCTTCCACAGGCAGCCAGTGTGAAAATTACCCTGGATTTGTTTTAATCAAATGTGGTGAGGCACACAGGCCTGGAAATGTCCATTTTGAAGGAGGAAACCTTAACTGACAGATCCCTAGCAGCAGAAGGCATGGCCGCCATGCAGGTACCTGTGGACAGACACGGGAGGGGTCAGGAGGAGGAAGAGCCTAGGGTCAAAAGCACAGGCAAAGCCTGCACTGGAGGCAATGGGCGGCAGGGTAAGCCATGTAGGAATGACTTCAACAGGCTTCGCCGTGGCGATGTCCGAGCAGCCGGCACCCAGCCTTTCAGTGGTCCAGTATTGGGCAGGAGGGTTGATGGGAGAGAGCTGGGTCAAAGTAGCTGGGGACGTGGGCTTTGGATCAGTTGGTTTACATGGAAAGACCTGTGTCCAGGAGTTGTTTAGTATCTGAGGGAATTAGCTGGCCCTGGGAGGGTCAGTCAATCCCAGGGGCCATCAGATGTAAAAGCATGTCAGATACACAAAAAGAATGCTTGCTTAGTCCATGCCTGATCTCCCAGCCTGCTGTTCTCTCTCTCTCTCTCTCTCTCTCTCTCTCTCTCTCTCTCTCTCTCTCTCTCTCTCTCTCTCTCTCTCTCTCTCTCTCACACACACACACACACACACACACACACACACACACACACCATTGCTCTCGTTTTTACTCCCTTTCTCTTTTTTGATACAGTCTCACTGTGTATCTAACTCAGACTAGAGGCAAACCCAGGATCCCTCTGCCTTAACCAAGGGTGTTGGGATTACAGATGTGTGCCGCTGTGTCTGGCTAGCCCACTCTGCTGAGTGACAATGAGGACATGACAACTCTAAGGTATGGTTGACATGGGTTTTATTGTAGATGTGAGGGAAGAGTACAGTCGGAGGCATTTGGAAAGGTCCAGACTGAATTGGGCCATGAGAAGAGAGAGAGAGAGAGAGAGAGAGAGAGAGAGAGAGAGAGAGAGAGAGAGAGAGAGAGAGAAGGAGAGTGACAGGATCACCCAAGAAACTTAAGAAAAAAGTGTTCCTTGGTCTCACTCCAGACCCTCAGAATCAGGATTTCTGAGACGGATCCCAAACTGAACATGGCAGTTAGTTGAAATGGGCTACAGGATGTCCAGAAATGCAGTTGAATATGTTTTGGGTGTTTCTGCGAGGATATAGCAGATTGCTCTCCCCAGTAGGGATGGGCTCTGGTGCCTGTCCACACAGTCCCAACCTGTTTTATTCCCAGTGATTCTATCTGGTGCTTCAGTTTGCCTGGTGTCTTACGGCTACCACTGCTACGATGAAACACCATGACCAAAGCAGCTTGGGGAGGAAAGGATTTATTTGTATTATTTATTAAATTGCAGGGAAATGCAAATGATCTAGAATAGTCCACCAATTTTAATTTCAAAATTGACTTTGATTAAAATACTGATCAATAAGAACAAATTTGGAAAGTTTTACAACTTAATAAATAGTTCTGATAAACGTGTAGCTCCGACTTTTAGTGGATCAAGCCTTTAAGAGCAGGAACTGCGGATGCATTGAAACGGAGATTTCATCACCAGGCAGGGAATTGGAGGATCTACAGGCCAGGTGTACTGGCTAGTTTTATGTCAACTTGACACAAGCTAGAGTCATCAGAGGGGAAGGAGCCTTAACTGAGAAAGCGTGTCCATAAGATATCAGGCTGTAGGCAAGCCTGTAGGGCTTTTTCTTAATTAGTGATTCATGGAGAGCCCAGATCATTGTGGGTAGGGCCACTCCTGGGCTGGTGGTCCTGGGTTCTATAAGAAAGCAGGCTGAGCAAGCCATGGGGAGCAAGCCAGTAAACAGCACTCTGGCCTCTGCATCAGTTCTGGCTTCTAGGTCCCTTCTCTATTTGAGTTTCTATCCTGATTTCCTTGGATGATAAACAGTGATATAGAAGTATGAGCCAAATAAACCCTCTCCTCCCTAAGTTGCTCTGGTCATGGTGTTTCATCACAGCAGTAGTAACTCTAACTAAGACAGAAGTTAGTACCAGTATAGTGGGGTATTGCTGTGACAGACCTGAACATGTGTATTGTGGAGGATTGTGGAAAGACTTGGGGACTTGGAACTAGAAAAGCCTTTGAATGTTGAGATCTCAGTGGGCTGTTCTGCGGGAACTTGGAAGGTAAGAATGTTAAGGGCAATGCAGATGATGGAGACCTAGTTTGTTAAGTTTCAAAGCCAAGTTTAAAGACTCTAAAGGAGCCATTTGTTATTTTGAATTAAGAGTCTATGGTTCTGGTGAGCTGGGGCTGAAGAATCAGCTGCAATTAACAAGACACCAGAACCACTAAAGTGATTCGCTGGAAAACTCAACATTGGTCAGCTGGAGCTGAGAAATTAGCCGTGACTAAAAAGAGACCAGCATCTTTGAGGTAAAATCTTCTGGAAACTGTTTCCTGAGAGTCAGCAGACAGAAGCTGTGTTCCAGACATGGCCAAGGTTGTACCTTGTGCTGGCAGCCAAACCTGGTAGTGTTAGCGTCATCCACATGGTGCTGGTTTTGAAGGTATGAAGGGGTCATGGAGAGCAGCTTTTTAGAATTCCTGGCCACTCCCCCCAGCTACATGACTGCACATGCACTGTCCAGCAGCCAAGCAAGAGGCTTAGTCATCCCAGGGCCTTACGTCCTACGTAATCCATCCGCTGCATGATCACGTAATTTGCACGCAGCATGATCATGCAATCTATGCACATGCGTAGCATAGCTACATAAGCCCATATGCATGTGTGCAGGGGAACCTATAAAAAAAATCGGGTTCCATCTATCCCTTCTCCCTTCTCTCTTCCTGCACAATCTTTGCATAGGCCTAAGCACCCCCTTCTGTTCCCTTCCTTTAATAAACTCTTTTAGTTGGTCTTGTTGTGCCTTGTGGCTTTTCTTGCACGGTAAAGAGCACTGCTTAATGACTAACACAGCGCTGCCTAGTAAATAACACATCTGAAGCCTGGCACAGTGTGGCAGGGTTGGAGTCCCTGAAGAGAGCCCAGGAGAGGCTATTGGTGAAAGTGCAGCCCAGTTACATACAGCAAGGGGCCCCAGCATTTTGGAGATGCCAGTACCATGGGCTGACCGCCAAGAACAGTAGCAGCAGTGGAGTAGAGCCAGCAAGCCGTGTGTTCTTCATGGGCTCTGCATCAGCTCCTGCCACCGGGTTCCTGCCTTTTGAGTTCTTGTCCTGACTTCCTTGTGATGGACAATTTTTTAGAATCAGCTTGCCAGTTTGTACAGAATTCACTTTAGGAATTTTTCCCTCCTTCAATTTCCTGCTTTCTTTCTTCTTTCCTTCCTTCCTTCTTTCCTCCCTTCCTCCTTCCTCCTTCCTTCCCTCCTCCCTCCCTCCCTCCCTTCCTTCCTTCTTTCCTCCCTCCCTTCCTCCCTCCCTTCTTTGGAACAGGGTCTCACTCTGTAGCCCAGAATAGCCTTGAACCTGGGCTCATCTTTCTGCTTCAGCCTCTGAAACACAAACCTGAGTACTGAAACTCAGATACCAGACACCACACCCAACTCCCTCTGATGTTCACATTGTAAACACATTGAGCCAGTAGATTAATTTGGAAATACCTGACATTTTAAGAACATTGATCTTTCCACAAACATGGCACAATCTCTCCACTTACACAGCAATCTACATTGAGTACAATCATACTTGGGATTTGGAATTTGGAGCCTTCCTAGGGTAGGGGCCATGTTATACTACCATAAGATGCTTTCATGACGCAAAATGGTTTCCAGTCAACCAAGAAATCGTGAGTGGACATAATCAATAAAACTCTCGAGTGGTTGCTGCTAAGTTGTGATATTCAGTGGCTCAGGACAGCAAATACATTCTCAACTTCTGCCAGTTTCCACTTGCAGTGTGTGATGAGTGTGTAACTTCTACTGTAAGTGGCCAGACCTCTGACTCAGGCTGATCTGCATGGACAAAGGAGTGCTGTCCTCTAGAGACCCCTGAACCACAGGATTGAGGCCAAGACTCTCAGGACAGCTAACTGTTCTTGCCGAATGCACCATTTTCTCCACCCAGTCCCTCTGTCTGTCAGCTCACCTTCCAATGTCCCAGTCCTAGCATGCTTTAGAGATGGAGAACTTCAAACTCCTGTTTATCAGCTGTGTGACCGGGGACAGTCCATGTAACCTCTGTGCTTCAGTTTCCATCTGTAAAATGAGAATCACAGCAGCGACTTTTCACGGCAATTTATGAGGATGGAAAGAGGGAACATTCTGGAAGAGGCCGGGCCACGACAGGTAGTCAGTGAGTAGGACTGGGCTATAATTTTGCAGAGGGGCTCATTCTTGCATTGGGCCCTGAGTCACACTAATCCTTTCTGCCTTTCTGCCTCTACCAACCTCCTCCTGTCTGATGCTTCAAAATTTCACTTTCCAAAGCTCTGCTGCCCAGTCTTCTCTCCTGCCACCTTTCTTTACCA